ATTAACAAATTTTCTATAAAAATTAGTTGATATATCCTTTATACAGTTGGTTTTGTATCAATTTAAGTGCGGATATTGACGTTTTTTGCCGTAGTAAGCGAATATTCACATTCACAATTACTTACACATAACCAGTAGATATTAAACCAGTAGATATTAAACCAGTAGATATTATAACCAGTAGATATTGAACGAACTGTAACTCAAACTAACCAAAAGTATGCAAACTAACCCAAACTAACCCGTCCACGTAATGCGTGCGAGTCCTTGTATGTTGAAATTGAATTGAAAGGTAATTTTTGGGCTCTCGGGAACGGACTATAAGGCGTTTGTGACCTTGATCCTGACCTTGACCATCAAATTCACGTAAATGGCAGTTTAACGTGCTGAAAACTTGTATAGTATTGAAAGGCATCTCAAGTAACCTATATACCGAGTTTTAGCCTTCAAGGTCATACACATTCAGAGATACGGCAACTCCGCATTTTCAGTTTGGGCTCTCGGGAACAGGGTAGAAGGCGTAGTCCGATTGAGTTCATGTTTGGTATACATATTTAGGCCGTAAAATTTAACAGTTCAGTAAAGGTCCTTCAAAAAAAATATCATGCTTCTTCATTATAGATAGTTTAGTTTGATCCCAAAATATTGTTTTATGATCGAAAATGTTGGCGCAAATAACTATAAATTGGATTTTATAAATATTGAATGAATCCTCTTCTCGACCTGTGACACAGATCAATATATAAAAATTTAATAAACGTAAAAAACATCATGTGGTAGATATTCGAATGAAGAGAAGAGCTAAGTGTTCAAACCATTTTTTGAAAAAAACATTATTGAGTAATGATAAAGCGTGTAATATCTACTGAACTTTTGAAATTGGTACACTTTAACCGACAATAACTGTGCTATATCGAAACTGATCAAAAATATGCAAACTAACCCGAACTTACCCGTCTTTGTACTGCGTGCTAGTCCCCGTAAACCTATCTAATCGAGAATTACAAAATAATGCAAAACAACCCAACTTAACCCATTCTTGAAATGCATACTAGTATCCTTGAACATTTTTATTTTATCTAGCTTGTCGCGCTTGGTTGTCGTTGTTAATCAGTACACTGTATCCAGTTTTAGATAAGTAATTAATATTCAATATCATGATGTTTCCTATTAAAACTGCCCAAATTGGCCTACCCTGTAGATAATTTCAGCACGATAAATAGATATTTACGTGAATTTCACTAGTCAAGGTCACGGTCAAGTTCACGGCCAACGGCCAAGGTCAATTTTTTTGGGGGAAATTTCTTTCAGCGGCCTTTATATGTATACCAAAAATGAACTCGATTGGACTACGCCTTCTAGCCCATTCCCGAGAGCCCAAACTGAGAATGCGGGGTTACCGTATTTCTGAATATGTATGACCTTGAAGGCTAAAACTCGGCGTGTGGGTTATTTATGATGCTCTTCGGCGCTATACATAATTTCAGCACGATAAATTGATATTTATGTGAATTTCACTGGTCAAGGTCACGGTCAAGGTCGCGGCTAAGGTCAATTTTTTCTTGGAAAAATTTCTTTCAGCGGCCTTTATATGTATACCAAAAATGAACTCAATCGGAGTATGCGTTCTACCCTGTTCCCGAGAGCCCTATTCATTCCAATTTAAAAAACAAAGCCCGCTTCGCGCGCTGTGTTCTCAATCAGTACACTTATAATCAGTAGATACGAACTGTAACCAAAACTAAACAAAAATATGCAAACTAACCTAAGCTAACCCGTCCACGTAATGCATACTAGTCCTATGCAAACTAACCCAAACTAACACACCTTTAAATTGAACCACTTTAATTTATATATTTTTCTTGAAAACTAATATAATCCGCATATTTTTATATTGAAATCGGTCCAAAAAGGCTAACTACAACATTAGGAATGCATCTTATAAGAAACTACGTGTTGCACTAAAGCGTTTCACCACCATCACCACAATATTTGAACTTATTTGAAGTGAACCATCAAAATTAAAATAAATCGAAATAAATTGACAATACAACTTGCGTGTGCGAGCTAGATTTGCGATCGGTACACCCCCATGCGCAAAAGTTGCGAGTGGTGCAAAGTCATATCAGACCCTACAAATCTCCAGGCAAAGACGGGATTTTTCCCGCACAACTGCAAAAAGGCTACGAGCACTTAAAGGTACACCTACAAAAGCTCTTTAAGGCAAGCCTGCTCCTAGGGCACATACCGCTATCTTGGAGGGAAGCTAATGTGATATTCATACCAAAAACGGGTCAAGGACTCGAGGACGAACCAAAATCATATCGTCCCATTAGTCTAACCTCCTTTCTCCTTAAGACAATGGAGAAAGCAATCGACCAGTACATTAGAAGCGAAACTCTATTGAGAAGACCGCTCTACTCGAAGCAATTTGCCTATCAGCCAGGCAAATCCACGATAAGTGCCTGGTTAAAGACATTGAAAAGACAATCGAGTGCAAAGAGATCGCTCTCACAGCTTTCATCGACATAGAGGGTGCCTTTGACAACACCTCACATCAATCAATCGCCAGAGCATTACAAGCATGGGATGTTGAAGTTCCAATTGTAAAATGGATAGAGTCGATGCTGAAGCACCGTCACGTTACGGCTGAAATAATCGGAGCATCAGCTACCGCTACCACGGTCAGAGGGTGTCCTCAAGGGGGTGTTCTTTCTCCGCTACTATGGACACTGGTGGTAGACAAAATTCTTACCAGACTGAGTAGTGCTGGATACCAGGTCATAGGTTACGCAGATGACCTAGCCATCGCAATCAAGGGCAAACATGAAGGTATAGTGACAAGCCGAATGCAAAGTGCCCTAAACATCGTTAAAAATTGGAGCGAAGGCGAAGGACTATCCCTAAACGCAAACAAAACAATCCTTGTCCCGTTCACAAGAAGAAGGAAGCTAAATTTGAAAGCCCCGACCCTTAACGGTACACAACTAACATTTTCCAACGAAGTGAAGTACTTAGGGGTCACCCTGGACCAAACCCTCACTTGGAACAAACAGTTAGAGAAAACATGCTCTCGAGCTACATCAGCCATTTGGTCATGCCGAAGACTTGTTGGCAAAACATGGGGGCTAAAGCCAAAGATGGTATTCTGGATCTACCAAACCATAATAAAGCCTATGGTCACATACGCCTCATTGGTGTGGTGGCCCAAAACCCAACAAGTCACCGCTCAGATTAAGCTAAGAAAGGTGCAAAGGCTGATATGTCTAGGAATAACGGGAGCAATGTCAATTTGCCCCATCGCAGCCCTAGAGACGCTACTCAACATGCCCCCACTTCACCTATGTGTGAAAAAGGAGGCAATAACCAGCGCTCACAGGCTATTCCAAATAGACAAGTTCAAGCCTGGCGATCTGAGGGGACATCTGAAAATCGTTGATCTAATAACACTGGAGAATGCCAGCAAACCAAGTGACCACATGATGGTCAGATTGGACTTAGAGATCCCCTTCGCAGTGGTAATAAACGACCGCCAATCATGGGAGAATAAAGAACTACCACAAGCAGACAATGCATCTCTGTGGTACACAGATGGATCCAAGCTAATGGTAGGAGCTGGACTGGGCATTTCCGGCCCTAACTTCAAGCTCTCCAAGGCATTGGGTAAACATCTTACAATATTTCAAGCCAAACTGCTTGCCATAGATATATGTGCACAAAAGTGTCTTGACCAAAGCCTCAAAAGAAAACACATCTTCATACTATCGGACAGCCAAGCTGCCTTAAAAGCCTTGAGGGCTTTCAAATGCACGTCAAAACTAGTCTGGGAGTGTAAACAGACCCTAAAAACACTAGCGACACATAACCAGGTAACGCTGATGTGGCTGCCTGGTCATCGAGGCATAGAAGGAAACGAAGAGGCAGATGGCTTCGCAAAGGAAGGGGCCTCAACACCATACCATGGACCAGAGCTCTACTGTGGCTTAATGAAAAGCCACATCATGGAAGAACTCAACAAATGGGAGAAAGACCAACTGTCATCATATCGGAGGCACACACCGGGACTCAGACAGTCAAAAAGGTTTATTACCCTTTCAGCAAAAAGAGCTGAACAGCTCCTAAGCATGAGCAGACCAGACATCAGATTGGTGGTGGGACTGCTCACAGGATACTGCCCAGTAAAATTCCATTTAAGGTTAATGGACAGAGCAGAAGACGATCTCTGCAGATTCTGCTCAGACGCAATAGAAACCGCAGAGCACGCACCTGCTCTGCGAATGTCCAGCCCAATTCTGCAAGAGGCTCAAATTCCTCGAGGGGGCAACACTGTCACCAGAAGAAGTGGGCCAACTGACACCCAGGAAAATAGCTTACTTCGGCAGAAGTCTACGCTTCCTGGAGACAAATTAAGATGTAGAGTCACGCACAAAATATCTGCAAAGGTAGCAGTGCTGAGCGGCTGAAAAGCCGAAACGACTCCCCCGAAATCTACAATCTACAAGTCATATCGCTCGCAGTGCATTTCAAATAAGCCGTGCACCAGTTTTCAATCGCAAATAACGTCATTTGCGTATACGCAAAGTTGCATCAATTTCAAATAAAGCCCCCCAGTTAGTATGCAAGTGCAAATTATCGCGTAATTACAATCTGATTGGTTCAAATCAACAATCAAAACATGTCAATTCATTGTTGGAATACCAGTTTTGACAGATGTATAAAATTCTCACTGTAATTGAAAGAGGATGAGTGATTTGGGACACATATAGAATTTGAGGATATTGTGAGGTAATTGAATGCATCAGGTTGAGAAGTAAATGATGAAGACCATTTGTTATTAACTTTACCAAAGTCTTATGAGATTGTATGTGCAATTATTAAAAATATAACTGACGTCAAATATAAAGATGCAAAGAATAAACTTTCGGCAGAATGTGAAAAGAGGTTGTTATTTCATAATAATTGGCAAAACAATAATTACAGTGGATTAGGCAATACTTATAATGCACCGAGAAGCAATCATGATTACAGTAGAGGTCTCATACGAAGCGATTATCAAAAAAAAGGTTACAAGAGGAGATAACAATGCAAGAGGAGCCTCTAAGCAAGAATCAAGAGGAAATTTTAATACAGGAGGCTGTGCAAGAGCTTTCAGTTCAAGAGGTGGTTACAGCAGCAGGACGAAAAAAGATGGATTTCAAAATAGTGGAAATAACTTGGCAGAAGATGAGAGTTACAGAGAGTCACAGAAAGATCAGGTGAACTTTGTTTTCTTGGAGAAAAACCAAGAAATGTGAGAGGATTAGGTACAGTTTTTTATTGATTCTGGGTGTACCGATCACATGGTCATTCAAAGGGAAGTCTTTTCGAGTTTAGTTTGGATCTAGAAGAAGCAAAAATGATGATTGCGAGAGATGTGAAATTTAATGAGGGTGAGTTTTAGTATAAGAGGAAAGAATATTTGGCGGCAAGGTTTGATAATATAGACACAGTAGGGATGGTAAATAGACAATTAGAGTATCAAAGGGAAACAGATGATGATAATGAGATTGTGAATAAACTAGAGAATAAAAGATTAGTGAGAATACCACGCAAATACGAGGATTATGAGTTTTATATGGCATTTGATGCATGCAGTTTTGTTGAGAATGTACCAGTAAATTCTACTGAACTAAAGAATAGAGTAGATTAGGAAAAATGGCTAGGAGCTGTAGATAGAGATTTCAGATTAGGGCTTCGCAAGACCAAGACTGGCCAGTCTTGGTCTTGCATCAATCAGGGCTTTGATTAAAAATCTAGCAAATAATAGAAGATTTAAACACCATCGATTAAAAATTGGTAAATGGTAAAGTTAATTGAAATTAATTAAAAGGATATTTACATTCCTTTGAGAAGCAGAACACAAAGATTTTTGGGATTTCTAAGTTTTTTTGAATACATCCGTATTTCCAGCGTAAAAAGTTTTGGTGATAAAACATCTCTCTGTCTGTCTCCTGTCCTGATTGGTGAGCTTGTATTCTCTTTCATCTGTACCGTCAATTTGCGATTTTCGTACCCACATAACAGTGAAAGAACATTCATATTCTCAGAATATTCCCTCAAAGTGCTTTTTGGAATATTCTTTTAGGAATGTTTAATGAATATTCTAAGATTGTTTCGATTGAAATATTCATTTTTGAACGTTCTATTTATGTACTAGGAATGTTGCTTCTATGCACCTACCTGAAAGATTGTGCTAAGAACCTACTTTATATAACAATCTTTGAATATTGTCATACGAACATTATTATAATGTACCCTAAAAAATGTTCTTTCGGTAATATCTCTATCAAGTATCAAGAATATACCTACCAAGTTGTGCTGAGAAGTTTATGTAGGTAGGTAACCATGATAAGAATATTTTCATATTGTTCACCTAATTATCTGAAGTACCTACTCAAAAATCATAATTTAACAATTAAACAATAATGCTCTATCCAGAACGTACTAAGAATATTATAGGTATATTCCTTTCCTTTTACTTTGTGGGACTTCCAAGAGAGGGAGCCACGCGCTATTAAAGATCTACATCTTATCTCGCGTTTGAATCACCTTGGAACCTGTTTCTCTCAGTTGGCGTGCTTCGACGAGAGCATAACAAGCTCGAAACCGGAGCTGTGGTTAAATACTTGTGTTTTCCAGAGAAGTTTTCCAACCACTCTTTCACTGCCTTTAATATAAAAAGGCTGAAAGGAGCATTATTTGGAAGCGAAAATTAACATTCCAAGTATATCCTTAGAATCAACCAAGAATGTTATGTCTAGGATGCCTATTGAGAATGATAATATGTAGATATATTTTAAGAATATTTCAAGCATATTGGTATAATATTCTTTTGAGAACATAACTATAATGTCATAGAAACATTCTTTGAATGTGAAAATACCTATACATATCGAGCATATTTTCAGAATCAAACAAGAATATTCTTTTCAGGATGTACTGAGAATCTCATAGGTATATTCTAGGAATATCCTAATGGATTTCTCAGGAAGTTCTTGGGTATTGCAAACAGTATTTCTACAATCTTTTCTCAGAACATTCTCAGGACATTCGCAATGGTTTTGGCGAACATTCTAGGCACATTCCTCCTAAAAAAAGAACATTCTTAATACATTCTAAGGATGCAATTTTGTTATGTGGGTAGATGTTATCAATAAGCTGTTTTTACTTCGAATCAATTTGAGAATGGTCCATTGCTCCTTGGTGGCTAAGGGTTTAATGTTCAATTCTATCGAATACCTTATCATAGTCCACAGAAGCGAGATAGATAAAAAGATGGTATTCGTTTGCTTATCTTACAAGATTTTTTATGGTGGGTTGATGTTCCTCCGCACTACAGACATGGCGAAACCCAACCTGTTAGCCTCTCCATTTTGGCTGATAAACAAGTGGCGATTAAGTTCATGAATCCCTTGTATATTTGGGATAATATCGAGATGATATGATAGTTTCTGATGTCAGTTGTTCACTCTTCTTGAGGAGCAGAACTAGACTTCCAGATGTATGTTTTGAAGAAACTACCGTGACTTTGTTAAAAGGCAGCACAGAACTAAAGATAGAAGTGATAGTTGCTGATATTAGATGAGCTTGTATGAAATGTCGATGACCTAGAAGTCTTGGATTTCCTATCTTTGAAGATTTGAAATATGATGCTCAGAGTGGGTAACTCTCTTTTCTGTTGAGTTAAAATAACTCTCAGCAAAGATACACGGATTCTAGGTTATAGTGAAACGATCCTAGAAATATCGGGTCTTCAAAAAAAAAAAAAAAGGTTTTTTAAACGTAGGTATGTCTTTTTATCTTAATTTTGTTAATGAAATTTAATGTCAAAATGTCATGTCAAAAATCCTGACCAATAAAGAAACAATAATGCGACGTACGTTTTCGTAATCAAAGCAATCTTTGATTGTCTTTTTTGAAGACCCGTACGACACACCTAGAAAAAAAGCTAGAAGGCGTGACCACCATGGTAGGAAGCTACCGAGAACAGACAAAATGGGAGTCTTGTGGCATAGGTACTGTTTAGTGAGTAATTGTTGAGATGCAAAAAGAAGGAGCCTGTGTTAAATGGAGAGGTAATTCATCTTTGAAGCTAATGTTCATCAAGGTCATTGATTTTGTGAAAAAGGAAGCTGAAGTTTTTGTGCAAGAAAAGGAAACTGGGCCACTGGGCGAACCAACCTGGTAGAACATCGCATTAACAAACTTCATGTTCATGCTACAAAAAATGTTAAAAGGATGACGTGATAGAATCTAAAAGTCCATATGGTGATCGCTGGTCGTACTTTGTAGTTATCAAAAAGGATGGCTCAATGAGGTTTTGTGTGGCTGTTCTACCACAAACCATGGAGTAGGAATGGCTACGTGAAAGTAATCTGAGTGATGGCCTTTTTGGAGTCAATAGCATTGGCTTGACTTAGAGATGGGTATTACTGGATCAACTGTCATATGGATTGTGAAGAATAAGATGCGAAAAAAGGACCGAGACACGATCCCGAGAAAAAATGAAGCTGTACTGGTTCCCCTTCAGAGAAAATTGCAGTTGATATTGCGAGTCTTATTGCTACAGCAGCTTCGGGAAACAAGTACTCCATGGAACAGCTTCTTGGGAAGGTGCGGTGTTGTAAATCTCTCAAGTTAGGGAAATTGTGCAAAATCTTTCAATGCTGCCTGATGACAAGGAAATTCGCTCGCCAATAGAATTTCGCCGAGCAATAGTCCAATGAATTCGAGATGAATGAAAGCGAATTATCGAAACAAGAGGTTTCAGGATTATCGGATAATACTTTTTACCTTTCACGAAACGCGTTACGCAGCAACACCACGACTCCAAAGGAGGAGTGGTGTTGCTGGTAACGCGTTGAGGTCAGGTAAAAGTTTTAGGTAATCTTGAAACATCGAGTGGTATTCAAGAGGTTATACAACGAACTAAACTTTAATACTTTAAAATTTAAAAACAATTCTATAATTGAATTTGCCATAAATGCCACCAAGCGCGATAATCCCAAAAGGCTTATCACTTTTTAAGCCTCTTGTGTCATATGGGAATAATGTACAGTGAGTTGTTTAATCTAGAAAATTCTAGAAGCAACGATGCGCTATAAAATGGAGTCGGCAACAGAAACATGTCAGTGATAAAGTAGGTATCAGTTTGGTGAGTTGAACGCGAATAGGGTAACGATCGGATAACTTATAAGCAACTGTGCTATTTATTTTTATTATTTTTTGGTTCCGATAGAAGAAAACTGAGAACATGGATACATACATCATTGAGAACCAGAATAATTGGGTTATATCTTTGTCGTAAAGCCATTTTGAACAGAAAACAGGCAAAAAAAAACAGATGTCAAATTTTTGACATAACACGCTTCCTAGACAAATAACTACCTAATTAATGATTGTCATTGTCATTAATTGTCATTTCAAACCATGAATTCATTTTAATAAATCTTGACATTTTTTTAGGTTTTAATATCATTTATCAAATTTATACTTAATTTTTTTTTTTCAAAAATGTCCCAATGACACCTATTGAGATTTTTGAGATTATGTAAAGCAAAATGAGCTCTATCCAATCAATGAAAAAAAAGATGGCGTTCCCATTTAAAAAAAAGATCAATGACGTCATATCTTTGAGAGGAATTTTTTCCCTATATCTCTGTGTAACTTTTCCCTACACGTCTTCTTATACCTATTTCCAAAATTTTATCAAATTCCATCGAGCCGTTTCCTCAGAAAAATACCAACACACACATACACATACATACATAATATATACACAGAGACGGAAATGTGCCACCTTGCCAAAAAGGCTTAAAATGATCCAAAACGTTAAGATTTAATGAAATTTTGACATGGTCAAAATCGGCCCATGACCATAGCTTCCTATCTAGGAGCTAAATATTCGCAGAACAAGGTCTATTATCCGTTCACACCTATCAAATAGCATTGAAAGGTGATAAATTTTACCTGTACCTGTGGACATCGGATTGTGAACAGGATATAATTAACAGTTTTAGTTATTATATTATGTATTAGGTACCTATAATAATATTAGAGGATGTCGGGGAAGTTAGCAACACATTCGAAGCAGGACCATAGCAGCACAAGCAGGAACCTGTTTCAGCGAGCCTGCTTTCAATGTGTTGCCAAGGGTGAAGTTAGCAACCAAAATGGAAATCGATATATTTTGAGAATGGTGGGTATTTCTGGGTTGCGGTTTGAAGCAGGATGAAGCAGGACCATAGCAGCACAA